AAAAAAAAAGATAAAACCAAGAGGTCTCTTTCAGACATCTTCTGAATTTTTAATTAATCGATTAACGTATGTACAGGAGTTTGCATTTTAATTATAGCAAAAATGAGGTTAGACATTAAAGTCATTAAATTCCTCCTAATCTCCACTGATGTGCAGCACTGTGACACTCCTTTCTGTGTACTCCTTTCTATACAACTTCAAAAGAATGATACGGCTGAACTGAGATTGTTAATATTCATTCAATCAAAAATATTCTGGAAAGCACCAGAACTGTGGCAAGGATTAACAGACCAGGTAATCCACCTTCTGATCCAGAGGACTGATCTGAGGGCAGGCTTCTTGGGTCTGGACGTCTAAGGACTAGCCTGCATGGGTTGTGTGCCTCTTCAAATGGAATCTGGACCTCACTTGGTAGATTTGAACTCAACTGATCACGGACCTTGGTGAAAATAAAGGAAGGAAATAAGAGTATGCCAACATATAAAATACTTAAACTCATGAATCTTTCACCACCTATTCTCGTCATATAAATGTATTCTCTCGCTCACCCTCTCAACCTGTTCAAACACACGCAAGAAGTTATGTCGAAGGACACCAGCCAGCTCATTCTCAGTCCAGTTTCTTCTCAGCAGTTCCTGGATTAGGGCTGGGTATTTTGAGACATCCTCTAACCCATGAGGGAAGCTTTTAACCAAAATGAAAACAAAATTACTCTCAAATTATTGTTTTTAGGCGAACCATTGTAGAAACAGATCCCTCATTCTGAAAATTATGGTGTTGCTAAATACATTTAGTTTCATACCTTTGACACGTGGAATTACAAAAGTAAACACAGAAACATGATTTGTTTTATTCTCAGTTCTAATAAGATTTTGGGCTGAAGAATTCTGCAAGAAGAGCCTTGGCATCGACTCTCCAAGTCAATGGGTCAGGAAGAATTTTAACCTTTATTATATTCCTTTATTTAAAGTTTGCTGTAACAGGCTGAAACAAAAGCTCCAAAAGGCAATGAAGAAATTTGGTCACTGTTAAAGACATGGGGTATGATTCATGGCATTTTTATATTAATTGCAGTATTCAATAATGAGCTTTGTTTTCTTTTTTTCTTTTGTTTCATCACAAAACTACCTGATACTGATTGTTTAAGACAATTCCGTTTAAGAGGACTTTGCGCACTTTGCACCCAGCAGCACAACAGAGTCACTGCATCCTCTCACTGTAGGGGTTAAAAGTTCTGATTCTGATTTTCCTTAAATTTGTCACCCCTCTGTATGCATAGCAATAACCTAATATCCACCATCTTGCAGAAAATCTACCACAGCATAGCAGCCTCCATTTATGCCTATTAGAGGTATAAAGTTATTGATTTTTAACCCACTTCAGTCTGTTGACAACTGGACAGCTAAATTGCTGATATGACAAGCAAACAAAAACCACACAATTGATTTGGCTCAACAACGGCCTTTGAAATAATCTGTCTGGAGAGTGCCTCAGACAAGCGTGTTGCCTATTACTATTAGCTTTGTTTTGTCTCAAAAGCTTTTCATTCATCATGACTATAGAATATAAAGAAGATTTAAGGTAACTTGCATGGATTTTCTGTTTGCAACATTTACCACAACAATTACAAACAAACAATTACCTGTTTAGCTAATAATTTGTGTTATCTGGTTATTGCAAATTGATTTCTTACCTTGTAGCACCTTCATAATCCCCTCCAATTCCTATCGATTCAGCTCCAATCAATTTCTTAATGTAATCAAAATGGTCTGTAAAAATAAGTGGAATAATGTATAAACTGAGATATAAGAAATACAAACACATCCATTCCAGATGGACAGCTCACCAGCCACATGAGAGATGTTAGCCTCATCTCTGCAGGAAACAAATGTGTTGTGGAGATTCACCATGATCAACCCTTGGTTCTTTTTCTGAAACAAAAACACACAGGGCCATTACCAGGCGTGGAGAAAAGGGTTAAATGCCACCAAACAGACTAAAATAATCTATGCATGTGTACACTCTACAGAAAAGTTCTTGTTTAATCATTTCATTTGCATATAGTGTAAATTATTATGTCTGGCATATCGAGATGCCACTCAGATCCCAAAAAGAAAAACAATAAGACTAGAAGTCAAGAGGGTTTTAGAACTGTTTTATCTAGTTCTTCCTGTTCAAATGATGATTTACTGAGCTTATGTGTATGAGTAATCACACAGAAAAAAAAAACATGTGGAAATATCAAATTCGTGGCTATGATAAAATGTAAGTATTGATACTATTTATTTTTCAACTTGATTAATAAATAGAAAGAAGAAAAGAATATTCTCAGTTTATAAAAAGAGCCTGAAACTACCCCGACACTGTTGACAGTAGGCTTACACACAGCTTGAATTCTTGATCATCAGCCTGTCATTAATCAGTATAAGCATTTTTTTTTTAAAGTAGAGGGAGGAAAATGACTATCATTGTTAGGGTAAACAATCTGATATTCTCATTAATAGGTCCTCACTATAGTACTTTTATTTCATCCTGTGAGATCACGTTCTGGTGCCTGTCTGTGTATGCAAGTAAAGGGGAAATGGCAAGAGCTAAAGATGGCTGAGGAAATCATGGAGAACACAGAACGACATAAAGACAGAAGAAATGCATTAAGTTGATTGTGCAAATAAAGCCTTAGGATTGAAATCAATAACTCTTAGTGGGTGAAAACTGAATAATTTCTAATGGTGGAAATCTGTTCATAAATGTTTTAGGCTGTTGATACACAAAAAGTCTAACCATTACAAAAATTGTCTGACAGTTTTTCTTCTTTACATATACACATAAAGAGACACAATTAAAACGAGCCAGTCATCAATGTGACTGATCAGACAGTTGTTTAATCAAGCGGTTAAGAAGGCAAGCAATTACTTTTAAGGTTGTATTTCTCACCAGTTCAAGTAGCAGACTGTCAGGAACATTGCGGCTGTGGTTACATATGGAGTAGGAAGAGGAATGGCTAAAAATAACCGGAGCCTTAGAGTGACTCAGAACAGCAAAGGATGTGTTCCACGAGGTGTGGGAGAGGTCCACTATCATTCCGAGTCTGTTCATCTCCTCGACTACGACCTCAAAAACACAATTAAGAACATTTTGGTGGCATCAGGAAGGAAGTCATTTATTCAGAGGAGAGGATGTTGTTACATGTAAACTATTAGAAAACACTCATGCAGATAACAATCAAGAGTGTCCCTGCACTTTGCTGTTGAGACGGAGATCTGAATGGGAAAGGAGTAATAAAGATGTTTTCTATGTTTAAATAAGCTGCCTATAATATATTACCATATTCCAGTAATACACAAGGAGTTATTAAATGAGAAAAGTCCAGTTTGGGTTAACAGAGATTCTCTTTCCACAGCTTCCTATAAGGAGAAGATTTAGTATGCACAGTATTCCCAAATTCTAATAGTAAAGAGGTTCATTTTATTTAGAAGGTTCTCAAGTTACAATAACTATACAATCTCTATTAATGCAAACATAACAACAACAATAATGCATAGTAGTTTTATAATAGTTATAATAGTTACTTAGTTAATACAGTTTTATGTCAACAACTGAATTTCTCTTATTTCTTCAATACAGTATGGAAGGACTGATATGTTTTATGCTTTCTGAAAAAGGGTCAGGCAAAACTGGCATGCACGCTGACATACTACTCTGTGGAATGTGAGATAATGAAATACAGCTGTGGCTAATGTTACTGAAACTCAGAATTACCTTCCCAAAGGATGTCAGGCTGTTATTCTCCCTCTTATATACAGGGTAAAAAGTTGAGGATGATTCAGCCCTGCATAGAAACAATATATGTATTTTAATGTCACAAGTGCTGCAAATTATTCTTCTCCTGTTTGTAATTACTTAAAATTACTTTGGGTATCTGAAGGGAACTGCTTCAGATACCCACAGCTATAGTCAATGTGAGATATCTGAGAGAGGACATATATAGGTTAATTTGCATAAAAGAAAAGGATGTCGAGGTGAAAATGTAAATATGTTTCACCTTTCTATCTTTCCTATTCTATAAACAAATACTTCTTAGATTAAATGTAGCTCAGTAGTTCCTGCTTTAAAGTTGCTATGTAGCAATAGACCATTACAGAGCCAATGCTACGTATTTGATAAAATAGAAATTCTATTCAAAACCCAATTTATTGCTTAAATGATCATTTAAGAAAAGATCGAGATATGACTTTTTAAATACAAAGTACTAGATATACTGTAAAATATATGCTGTATAAAGTCTTTTCCTATTACCAGGGTGTATTACAAGAATGCGTGAGACCCATGGAGCGGACTCCAAGCTGGTAAAACATCCGCAGGGCGGGAAGGCTGCTGTCAATAGAGTGGCCTCCTTCGATACTTATTAAACAGGCTATCTTACCCTTGTCCTTAGAATCTTTTAGCTCTGCAATGACAGGCCCACATACAAAGCACATAAACACATAATTGGACATCATTACCTTCAGTTATCAGTTCTACTTTTCATCTGGTTACAGAAATGCAAGCTAACGTAACCACCATATTTTAGAAAAACAAACAAACAAACAAGATACATTTCAAAACAGTAATCTAGTAACCTAAAAACATTAAGGAAATGACTAGCTCCAAATTACCTCTAGTTTCAAAATTTCTTGAGAAAGTAGTTAGTAGGAAGTTCTTATCTGATTTATTCCAATCTGGCTTTAGAAAAACATCACATTACAGAAATCACTTTATGACATTTTAATGAGTGTGGACCCTGGAAATTTTACAGTTCATATTACCTCATCCTTCTCTTCAACATACTCAGAAATGAGCTTGGGTTAGGTGGAACTGCACCCAAATAGTTCTAATCCAATCAAACAGAGTATTTAGAATCACTGTGGTTAATTTTAGCTCATCGAGTTTCTCCTACGACTCAGTCCAAGGGCCTATTTTATTTAGTTTACATTTGTTACCACTTGACTAAGTAATTTGTAATTATACACAAGCATCTGACCATTGTTATGTCAATGGCTGCCAGTTAGAATGAGTCATTTAATCCTGGAGAACACAAAAATCTAGACTTCATTCATTCCTATTTTACTGGCATTAAGGATGGGATAAAATTAAAGTTCTTGTTCTTCTTATTGGTCCTGATGATTATTCTTATAGTCGCCCTGCTGACCTTGAACAATGACTCACTGACCTAAAATCATCTGCTGGAGGTTTAGGGGAGTATTTCTGATCAACAACTTAATTTCAAACAGCATATCAAAAGTCCAGACTAGTCTTGTGTTGTGAAATATTTGTTGCATAACTCAGACCAGTACTTATGAATAATATAACGGCATACCTTATATCTGCACCCTCATTTCCCCCTGATTAGATTACTGCAACTCACTGTTTACATGCCTAAAAGTTTGGAGGAGTGAACCATCTATAAAACACAGCAGCAGTACTACTCACCAACACTTGGTGAGATGAACATGCCATTCCAGTCCTTGCAGATTTACACTAGCTTCACTACAGAGTTCAATTTAAGATTTCCACTGATTACTTTTAAATCACTTCACAGTGAAGCTGCACTTTCTATTTTAGAAGTCCTAACGTCTAATAGATCAGAGAATCGATTACTTCTACATGTTCCACAGTCCAAGCTTAAAACCAAGGGGTTTTCATGCATTTTGAATAGTTTTTAAACCAATGTTTTGTGTAAATACTGCGAAACACCTTATAACTTTGGTTTAGAAATGTGCCATAGAAATATAGTTAATTATTATTATTAAGAAAGTGTACAATACCCTGGAGAGATGTGACCAGTTCAAACTCCTGGTACTCAGTGCACATACGTCTCACCACATCTATTTGTTCCAGAGTAAGCCTCACAGCATCCTTCTGCTGAGCACCACACAGTACGTAGACAGCAAACATCTGATACAACATATCACAGAACATTAGACACATTTTACTAACCAATAAATCTCAGATGTAGATGGATTTTTTTCCAGATTGCGCTGTGAACACTTGTGAAATTGCAATACCTGTGTCTGCACATGCCCTGCTTTGAAACGGGATATGTCTGTGGATACTTTGGAGAGGTTACGAAGGTCAACTTGGCTTAGGTAGTTGTTGTGACGAATCCTCAACTGGAGAGCGAGGTCATTGTGACTGACAGAGAGACGGGATAGTGGGTGATACAAAATTGAGGGACATTTTAATTTATGATAATTTATGTATCTTGTATGTATGAAGCACACTTTACCCATCAATCAGTGGATATGTGGACATCAATTCATCTACGTCAGAGCATCCACATATTTTGGCACACAGAGAGAAAACCACCAGAGCTTCGATAAACTGCATCCAGAAGCTGTGTGAAGCATGTTTTTCACTTTTCCAAGAAGGCATATCTGAACACAGAACACGCATCAACGCGTTACAGTTATCTGATAAGGCAAAGAAGAATAACATGTGAATGATCAACACGTGCACACAAAGAATATTTTGGATCTGTAATTTATTTTGAAAGGATCACAGCGCAGCTTGGATTGTTACAGAAATATTATAGCGGCACTTTTAAATATCGTCGCAATAAACTTCCTGCTTTTTATCGAATGTATGAGTTCTGGAATACATTAAACTGCAACTCCGATAAATATAATAAGTATTTTGGGATCGTCTGTTTTTTTTTTTTTTTAAATTGAAACTTAAGTCCACATTAAAATAGCATATAAAAACAACGTACCATTTAAGCGTGCTTGAAAATGGAATAATGAAAAAGGTCATTGCTCGAGATAATTAGTGCATGCTCATAATGAACCATTTGTAACTATAGACAGCGCGGAACAGCAAAATTTAAACAATATACTTACCAGCCAGGTCGCTGAAAAATGAGCCGTATGGCCACTTTGTTTAGCAACTGTGCACACACTGTACCAACTTTCCAGCTCTCCGCCCCACACAAACGTAGAGCAAACCTTTACAAAACTGGAGAGCTGCCTGTGTGGTGCATTCACGTGCTATCGGGAAAATTGCAAATTCATATAAATTATTTCTCGCTTGATGTTGTAGAAGAACTGCATTTTGCAGGACCGGGTTCTACAAGGACCATAATCATGCTTTTCTTCGTTCTGTCGCTTCTCTTTTGACTTATAGCAGCTTCCAAATTTGGTAGTGGTATAGCCTGCTATCAACGGGTAAGCAAAACAAACAAATAAATGAAGATGTGAGGGAAAAACTACAAAAACTGTATTTCTCATTTTTTACGTATTCTATACTGTTGTATCTGTAGGTTCCATAACTAGTATGTGGCGTTTTAAGTATACATTTATTTGCTAAACTGCGTCGCCTTATTTGGAAATACAAATTGACGACTGCGAATTGAAAGCATGATAAAACCTGAACATTTGAAGTTGCCATCTGCTGGCCAGATAGTAAATCACATTGTTAATGACCCATGTGTTTGATTTGGCAAAGAATTTACGTTGGTTGGAGAGGGTAGTCGACTTTTTGACCAGATTGTTTAACACAATCCAGGTCAGTAAGAAACTTAAGGAAGGCAAAAGAAGTGTACCGTGTATGTGCAGAGCTGTAGTAACCACAGAGGGATAAAGTTGAATTAAGCTGCATTAAGAAGAGAGGTGACAATTAGCGAACAGTTTAGTTTCATGCCGAGAGACTGCCAGTTGCGATGATTGCTTTGAGGGTGTTGATGGAGAAGTATTGAGAAGGTCAGAAGGAGCTGCAGTGTGTATTTTGAGGATGTGACGAAACAGATCATAGAGTGCCAAGAAACTAACGTGAGGGTGGTGCAAGACATGCATGAGGACAGCGAGACAGTGGTGAGGTGTGCGATAGGAGACTGATGGATTACAACGGGGATCGGCTCTGAATTCGTTGTTCTTTGCAATGATGATAAGTAGGATGGCAGATGATGATGCTGTCAGGCAGGAGTCTCTGTGGACTATGATGTTTGATCACAACATTGTGATCTGTAGTGACATTAGGTAGCAGATGAAAGAGAACCTGGAGAGGTGGAGGTATACTCTTTAGAAAAGAAGAAAACAGTCAGTACAAGTAAAGCAACATACCACGTGTGCAAATGAAAGGGGAACAGGTGTAACAGTGAAGATGCAAAGTGTAGAGATAGTGAATGTGGACAAGCCAAAGCGATGGACAGTACACATGAGTGATGAAGAAGAGAGTGCACACAGGTTGGAGCAGGTGAGTATCAGGGGTGAAAGGAATAGCACATAGTGAGGCCTGCTGTTATGTATGGATTGGAGATGGTGGAACTGAAGAAAAGAGTTGGAGGTTTGGAAAAGTTGAAGTTTAGGTTTTTGCCGGGGGTGACCAGGACGGACAGAATTAGAAATTAGTTTATCAGATGGAGAACTCAGGCTGTTTAAGATGGTTTGAACACGTGCAGAGGAGGGATAGCAGATATACTGGACTGGAATATGTAGATGTCAGGCAAGAGGAAATGAGGAAGATCGCAGAGAAGATTCGTGGATATAGTGAAAGAGGACATGCAGACAGAGGAGGATGCTAGAGATGGGATGAGATGGAGACAAATGTGCTAAACCCTAATGGAAGCAGCCAGAAGAAGATCTGTTGTTGAGACAAGCCTGTTGCTAGGAGAGGGGAAAAGAACAAAAACCTGACCCCATGGTCACCATCGAGTTTAGCTAAGTTACGGCAGTAGTGGTTAAAAGTTACATCGTTTCTGATCAGCTGACAAAATATTTTAGTAAGTGAATTTAAAAGATTTGTTTAAAAAAAAGGGGGGGGGGGTTTGGTGGTAAATAAAACTAAAAGTACTTCATTTGGTGACAAGAGGATATTAGTAACAGGCCTATTTCATAACAGACATCCTCACAATTGTAGAAGGAAAATGACAGCATCTTTAATCACATTACCTGTGGTGAGTGAGGCATCATCAAGACTGAAAACTAAAACTTAAAACACCAAGACTGAAATGAGTCTTGGTGTTTTAAATAAAAATAATAAAATAATTCATTTTATTATTTGGGCCTACAGATGCTCACATTTTCTACTGTGGCTTGTGATTTGTAAATTTGTAAGAAGTTTCAGGCTTTGCAGTGTTACGACAACTGATACCAAATTGTGCTTTCAGGAAGCTGGATGATTTTTCACGCTCACAGAGAGACAGTGACTATTTGCAACACAAATTTGCAGTTTTGCATTAAAGCACCACCACAAAAATTCAAAGTAAGAACCCATTTATATAAAACAGTAATCATATATTTACTATTGATACAATAATGAGGGTCCTGGGATGATATTCAGGGCCTGAACCGATTGTAGAAGTTTGGCTCTTTACTTTTGAGAGGAAAACTCATTTTAGAGTAGTCTAGTGGAGAAATTGTGATACATTTTCAGTTTACTTTTTTTACATTAACTTGGTTTACTCTGGAGATATGACACCTCTTCCTGTTTTGTACCAGTGGTGTGCATACTTTGTGTGCTACTGATACAGAGCTATGTAGATTGTGAGTTATGTGGCGCAAGTATGTGTCACACACAGATAAATAGATAATGCTTGACATTTAATCTATTTCTATGCAGTTGTTTTATTAAAATTGTAATTTCTGAATTAGTTCAACCATAAATGAAAACACTAAAGTAAACTTTAAAGTTGCTCAAATTTGTGCAGTTGCAGTGAACTTACGACCTAAACTCAGTGGATGGCCTACTCTTCTTCACATTTGAATAAGAAGATATCCAGGGGAAATTTCTGTTTTGCTTTCATTATTATTATTACTATTATTATTGTTATTTTTTTATTCCTTCTCTAATTTAACATATCCAAACATATATCTAATTGAAAAGCTCTCTGAGCTCTGCTTCATTATTGTTAACAGGCACCAGAATAAGGAAAAGGAAGGCGATAACACAATGTGTGTGTGTGTGTATGTGTGTGTGTGTGTGTGCGTGTGTGTGTGCGTGTGTGTGCGTGTGTGTGTGTGTGAAAACTTCCATTATAATATCACTGAAACATGAAAAAACACTGGCTGCTTTTTCTACATTTAGTGAAAATTATAATGAAGCTGTTTTGGCTACATTTCATTTTCTGTAAGGTACAATGTCTCCTTTTGAAACTGTTCTACATACATGTACTTACACTTTTCTGTATTAAATGTCTGATTACTGAAGAAAGAAAAAGTAAAAACAGCCTGGTCATCAAAACCAGCTGGCTGGGGACCATCAAACATTTGTGCCCAGGTCTGTCTACATGGTATGTTTTCATCTGTAAACATGAAAGCTCAATTTGTGCTTAGGAGTCTTTGTCTTGATGCTTTAGGCATGTGTGCAAGACATCACTTTTTAAAACTATGAGCTGTTTACCAATTTATATACAAATTATGATTTAAAAAATACTAATAAAAATTAATAATAATAATGATTATTATTATTATTATATTTTGTAAGTTTATCTATTTATGCTAAAAAACACTGCATAATGTACAGTTGTAATGCCATACAATCTGAACCTCACCATAAAAGGTGAAGTTCAGATTACAAGCCCTGCTTTGTAATGCTTTTTTACTTGGAATGTGCTTGCACTTAATGAACCTGAGTTGAATTGTGCAAATGTGAATTAGTCTGGTGTTGATGAGGAGCATCAGGGCACCACAAATGAATTTCAATTAATTTCAGTGGGAACATGCAAAGCCTGATTTTGTGGTCCACCCACTGATATTTGGCCTTGTAGTCTGTAATGAGTAGAGCGATTCGGCTCTGATTGGAGCACCCCACTGTTGCAATGGAGTAATCACAACCGTGTTGATATTACTCTACCAATCCTCCCACTGCGCAGAGTGGACCCCCAGCTGACACTGTTTGAATTCAAATAACCAAATCATTTAGTCATATTGTCAACCTTGCTGTGGAATGTGATTGGCAAAATAACTGATGAAATCCTGTTAAAACCTTATAGTGTGTGTTCACAGTTTGATGACGGAGCTTAAGCCAAATCCTTTTAATTAGCATGCCGGATTCCTGCATGTGTTTTAGTTTATGACATTGAAAGCATGAGTGCAAGGGTTGGGCTACATTTAGGTTAGTCATGTCAGAAAATAGATTTTCTGAATAATTATACTCATCTTCTGTGGAGATGGAGTCACGGAAAAACATTTTGATCTTGAGGGAAAAAATGTATAGTGACAAAATGACAGTTATGTGTCATTTTTATATTTATATATCTCTGATCACCACAAATATATGTTGTGAACCCTCTTTTGCTATTGATTTCTCACATTTCTGAAAGGCAATTCTGTGTGTCAAATGCAATCTTTAAAAAAAAAAAGCTTCTGAAAGTCATGTAACAAGGTGATCACTCTTTTAATTTATGTAGAAATGTATTGAAAATCATTATTGAGGCATTTGTTTTATTCCTGCATTATTCATTTGACTGGTTAGACTTGAGTTTTATAGCAGACATGTTAAATGTTTTTCTGGGTTGTGGTTCACTTTAATTCAATTTATGTTTATTTATATACATCCAAATTACAACAACAGTTGCTTCATAGTGTTTTATACAGTAAGGTAAAGGCCCTACTGTAATGTGGAGAAAATTCATTAACGTCACTAATCAAATTATTTCCTATGAGAAAGACTTTACAAAGGTAGGAAAGAAGAATCCTTAGGCTGCCCCTCCCTGAACCATTCTCTTGGAATAACAGCCATCTGCCATGATGAGTTGAGGGGTGATAAGAGCAGTTTCCATCAATTCCAAAGAAAAAATAAACGAAATAAAACAGAAACATACAAAACAAAGAATACTAACTAAAATTGTGTGAAATGCAACGTAGTATGTACTCAGTAAGCTGTGCAGTCACTGTAATATCATGTCATGTTGTGATATTAGAAATCAATGGCAGTGCAAGTTAAATTGGTGTCAAACAGCGATTCCAACAACCAAAATATTTTCAGCCAAACACAGAGGAAAAAAGCCATCTAAGGATTTGTGTTGAATTTCATTATTCCTCTGTGAATTAAAAAAAAAAAAGATGTTGAAAAAGACACCGTAGCAGTCTAATTATACTACATTTTCACTTTATTTTGTGCCCGCATTATCCTGGTCTTTTCTTTTTCCTTTTTGGTCTTTTAAGAAAATGTCTTCTTTTCTCACACAGGAAATCATGATTTAGTTTCACAGTTAAATGCAGCCAGACAGTGCTAAGAATTATGAATTGTATGTTTTCATCTCTACACATAGGCAGTATTTTTGAGCAGTTCATTCGCAATATTAACTGCAGTCCTGCATCTTCAACAGATTGCACATGTGCACAGTTGAGATCAAAAGGTGAAGCCTGGAAAAATTTAAAGGGTCTTACTGTTTCCAGCTTACCATTAGGGTTTATTTCCTTCTTCTATCTTCTTCTGAGCATTACTGGAAAAGTACAAAGCTAATGTTGTTAGTTTTTTCCCCCTGTAATTCACAGATATCGGTCCCTGAGCCTAGCCTCTTTGTTCCTCATCAAGGCCTTTCAGAAAAGATACGGGGCATAATGTGTTACCATGAAACCTCATTTATTCAAATTCTTTAATCTAATTGAGTCCTCTCATTATCGCATAGAGGAAGAAATGAGGATAAAAGGGTGAAATGTTGTTGTCTCTGAGAAAAGGCAAGACTTTAACATACCAGCCTTGAGATTGCCATTAAATGATCCAAAAAATAGCATAGCCCAGAGCTCCCATTTGCTTGTTGTAAATGCTTTGTTATATTCTTAAAACTGTATTATAGATAATAAGCTCGTCAGATAATGGTGTTGTATTCTGTGGCCATTTAGCTTTGTTGTGGAAATCATCTAGTGCACTGGGCCAGTTATGTCTGTCAGATACATCAATAATAGTGCTCTTGAGCAAGTTGTTTTTCTGCGGTTGACTTGAAACTTACTTCTCCACTAGAGGGCAGCAGCCATTAGTTGATTTTTTTTTTCATATTTCTAAACCTATCTCTCATATAGGAAAATTATTTGAATACCAGTGTAATGTATATCACTTACAGCTGCATGTTAGTTATGGAATACAGCAAAAAGAGCTCCAGAAAATCCTCAATTTTCCCAGATTTTCAAACTTAAAATCTTAGACTTTGTCAAATTTTCCTGTAACAAAGTCTAAAAGCAAACTCTGAGTGATTGTTTTAGTTGTCGTGTATTTAAAAAAAAAAAAAAAATCCGTTTAAATACATTTAAATACACCAAGCCTTCATCTTCAGTCGCAGCTTTTGAAAAAATGTTGAAGACGTCTTGGTCTTCAAACTTCTCATTTCTTTTGCCCTGGATTCTGGCAGCCCTGTAGTCAGTGTTCATTATCTGCTCTTACAGCTTTGACTTCAGCACAGCAATTACATCCTCAGCTGCACTGATTAATCCAACATGGAGGCATTTCACAAAATGGTTTTGAAAAGACATTTCCAGACACTTACCAGGGAGTAGCTGTGGCACAGCTTGTTTATGCAGATAGACCACAGCCAGTCAATTGGCAATAAGATGTTTTCAATGACTGCTTAAGTGTTCTCTTAACCTCTAGTGTACACTGTGCAGAAAACAATAGACTGTCTGGAAAATGATTAATTTAATCTGCTTTAGCCCTGACATATAGTTGAGGTGCCTGATGTCATTTTTGGGTAATGTATGTTTCTCTATTGTTCAACATATTCCCTCTTTGGCCATTCATTAATATGTCTCCAGCGCTCTCTGCTTAACTGCTTAACCTTCCATTCTTTCCTAGCAATCACATAATCAATCACTGGCCCATTACTTGACAAGGCAGACAAAGAGAGTGTATGAGTGAGAAAAACCTTTTGGCCTGTCTCAACAAGCAAGAGGAATGTCGACTTCAGAGGGCTAACACAAGCAGAAAACATAGGCCCAGTAAATATTCAATTTAAAGGATTCCCAGATAAGGCAAGTTGAAAAATTGAGGCAGCACCCATTCTTCTAGATAAGAGAAGACGGAGCCATCTGGAGGCTGGGAGATAGCGAACTCCCACGCCATCCCAGAGACCTCACTCTCATCTGCTGCAGCGGCAGAGAAGGGGAAAAAAATGGAGTGCCAACACTTTCATTATGTTAACTTCAAAATGAATTTATTCACATTCAGTGCATGTAGTCATTGGCTTTGGCAAGAAGGAGGTTACTGTTGTGTCCACCATAACAGAAAACTGTAATCAGCCTTAAAGTAATGCTTTCCTTTGTCATTTATGATTGAAGTATGTAGTGAGTATTTAATGAATTGTTCACAGAAGAACATTCTGACCTTCAGAAAAAACGAGAATGCAATATATATACGTAACAATATATATGTATGAGGTGCGTGTGCATCCGTGTATGATGTGTGTGTGTGTGGCGCATTAACTAAACGAACAGAATTTAAGCCTAGGCCTGTATTTCCTCCAAATTCACCTTGACTGCATGCTTGAAAACCACCAGCTAAACATTACTGGCAAAACAGACTCTCAGCTTGTGAATAACCTTGTCCACATTCCTGTAATGCACTTTGTTGACTCCTTCACCATACTATTTCATGCCAGCCTCATTGGATTTAGCGCTGGGATGATGCTTTTGTCAGGATGTTTTATCTGTTCTCTCAGTCAGGTACGCTTTGCCATTATCCCTAATTACCCCCACTGCATTTCACACTTGGCCCAGAATTCTTAGTGCTTAATAACAGATGCGGGTCGATTTGAAATGTACTTATAGTGGCATTATCTGTTCAACCTGGATCGTAGACTGACTGTCCCATAGGCTCTTGGATGAAAGCTGTTAACTCTGTGATAACAATGACCTGGAATGATAACCTTCCTGCAGTCTTGAGGACACACAGTTTGCTACATATGTCCTGTATTGCAGTCACAGCATTTTGTATTCAACCTTGGGTGCTCTGCTGTGCTCTGATTCATTTAATGGGATCGAGAGGGAGGTTAATCACTATGTCCGTCATAGACTGTTAAAGTGCTATATGAAATACTAGCATTTTTCTTTCTTTGTCCAGTGAGTTCGAAAGCAAATGCCGTAGACCTGACTATACCTTTTTTTCTCCTCCTAAAATCTGCTAACAATGCCCCCCTCCAATTAGGAGTCACTTTGATTAATCTACTTTAGGGGGTCGACATTTGCATTTGCAGATTTTCATTAAGATCGGCATTAAGACAAGGTTCCACTTATCTAAGTTATTATGCGTGGAACATATGGGTGATTAAATGGAAAAGGTCTTAAGTATTTGGATTGATTAATTCACCGGAAGGTTTATTTTGTTTGTGTTGCTCAGAACAACTTTTAAAGAAATTTTTAATCCATAAAATTCATTACATATGCCCTCAGTTGTTGTTTTTTCCTACTACTGTGGAGTCTGCAGAGGGTAGAATTTTGATCCAAGCACCAAAAGCGTCTGCAGCATCCAGTTAAGCTTTTGCAATTACTTAGAGGTACTGCTTTTGCAACTAAAATGGTATCTAAATGGCGTGAAAATGCAGGGAGGCAATGCATTTAAAAAATGGAAAAAGTATACAGCCATTTTATTTGCTGTCTGTCAACTCCAAGTGCATAGCGTTACTTTGAAAGCTTAGCTCCTTTTATACCATATTTTATAGCATATTATTTTGCTTATGAAATGTAAGAATATACCCGAAGAGCTAGACTACAATTGATATAGTGGGTGGCTAGGCCTATAGGCTGAAACAGGAAGGAGAGCAGCTAGTTGGTTTGATTTAATATTTTGCAGGAACAGTGTAGTGTGAAGCTCTGTCAAACCTAGTTTTAATCCTTTTCTCCACTGTGTTGTGTGATGTTATATTGCTATCTTAATGATAATCTGTGCCTGTATTTCTGCCCTAGGCATTTCTGTCAGGCTGGGTTGGTTTAGGACTGCGCCTTATCAACAGCTTTGTCATTAAATCAGCTTTTTCTACAGACAAATTTCACTGCTGTTATTCTTATCAAAAGAACAGCGCACTGTGATTTTCTGTTCAATCGCAGCTTTGCAAATTCAATGATGTTTGAGTAAGAAAGATGAAATACAAATGAAAAATCCCACTGAAAAAAAGCATTTATTTAATTTTGTTTTCATGAGATTTAATACTCAGACAAATAAAATGTGTATGCTGTGCATTTGTCATGTCACCAGTGGCTTTGGTTGTGTGTGTGTGTGTGTGTGTGTGTGTGTGTATGTGTGCACATGTGCGTTTGCGTACGTGTGTGTGTCTACTCGGATCTACGTTTTATATTCCGAAAGGTTAAATTTAAAAGCATGGGGAAAATGGTTGCCGAGATGACTGTAGCATAAGGCAAACAAATGATTTTATCCACAGGTTGTTAATAGTTTACTGAAAGCAGTAACCTAGAACCTATGAAATTCATGGCTTTTGTTAGTGTGAAATAGGATGTAATATTTTTTTCTAGATGTCATATATTAGCATGGTAGCACACATCATCAAAGTTTTCTGGATGTGAGAGACCATGTTGGACGTACCACAAAAGACGTCCTGTAAATGCTGTATGTCCAGAGGCAGCCTGTTAGGTCCCAGTCAAACTGACCTCTGGAGGATGGAATTGGTAGTCAGTTCTTCTGAGAAAGCACTGTTCTGTCTGAGTGGATGTTCTGATTGTCTCAGCATTGTGCTTGAGTGGAGTGCAGTGCCAAATGAACGCCTCTGATTCAATCCTCTCCACTGTGACACCAGTTGGGCCAGTCAGTGAGGAGGAAGGACTGAGGCTCCTTCCCCTAAACACACTCTCTTACAGTCAGGGAAACTGGTGTATTGCAAAGGTCCAAGGGATCTCTTGGATGCTGTCGCAGGTTCGGTACCCTCTCTTTCTTCCCACAATGCACTGAGAGTCTCTGGAGGCTGGTAGCCTGGTTCCTGGGGATCCAGAGGATCTTTGGAAAGAAGGATGCTGATGGAGGGCACAGTCCTGTGCACTGTCATCTCGGATGTCCCTCCTTCAGTACTCTCCCACACTTCTTTTACAACCTTATACCGGAGTTTGGTCAGCTGGTGCAAACAGCCCACTTTTCGTTTCATGATCTCGGCACAGGTGATGGTCTTTGTGACGGCACGACCTGACCCGGTAAAAACCACTTGTCTGAGCCCACCACCACTTGAATTTACCCCACTTACTCCCTTCTCTCCTTGCATCCGTGCCATGGCAAATCCCATTAAATTGCGAATCTTGCTTCCTTCCTTAACGCGCATCTCCAACACCCCAGAAGATAGCCCTGGGAAGGGACAGGGACTGTCCTCCTCAGTTCGGCACACTTTTTTGAATCCTTCTTGCCCTAATTTGAGTGCAGGAGGAGGGACTGGGAGTGGTGCTGGTTTCACTGGCCTAGAAACATTATTAACCCCACCTGGCTGTCCAGCATTGTTATAGGCTTGGCTTTGATAAACAGGGCACATGCTTGAAGTTACCCCATTCTCCATTTGGATTGGTCTGTTCAACTCCAGTCCTGGGTGGGGCTTCACGCCATCTCTGCTCAGGTACTGGTTCTGGCCACTGACCACTCCACACGCCGTAAACATTTGTGCAGTCCTCAGTGATCCACCGTAATGTTAGTCCAGGCACACACTTTTCCCACAGCTTAACATAATTTTCTTATGCACGTGGCACTTCTCTTTCTCTCTCCAGTGAACAGCTGTAAAGTTTCAAGACTTCATATTACCTCCTCCTCAAGAGCGCTATCAAAAAATTATTTAATGCTCTCCAAGACAGAGCTGCAGAAACAAGATAAATGTGTTGCTGGTAAATTAAGAGCAGTGCTGGGACCTTTAAAGATGTTCTTTAAAGAGCATCTAAATTTCATACCACAGACTGTTTGGAAAGTGCTCTGAAGATGAATAAAAAATCAATATATAAAGCTAAGTTATACACTTTCTTTAATTTGTAAGTATTTTATACGGTGGGTTATTTTCTTCTTGAATAGCAGTAAAAAATAAAATAGAGTTCTCTGTTGATTCTTCAGCAAAACTTTTCTAAAGAGAACCTGAAAGCTCAAATTAGGACTCCACCTTTTCTTTAGCGATCCAATCCAGCGCTGTTAATTTTGATGTGCTGGTCGTGTCACGTTCAACTCAAAATTGACATCTGGGGATGTCCATCTCTTAAGTTCCACGTCCTGTTTTGGACCTCTGGATGTTTTACTCCAGCTTGAGTAGGTCTGTGTCTCCTCTCCGTGTTCTCATTTTGACATCCACTGTAGATGAGGCCAGGGTTACACAGATGTCTGCAACTGGGGTGTCGTCCCTAGAGTTCTGTCTTGTCTTCAGTGATGCTCTGGGAAGTGTGTTCTGTTCCCCACAAAGAGACATAAGGGACAGAAGCTGCCTCACAAATGCTCACAGGAGGAGTGTCTGTGTGGCTGAGGGGGAGCATGAGGGAAAGGGGAGACAGCCCTCTTAAAGGCACAGGTCTTTTCATCTTTTAGACGAACACCCTCCCCTCCACAACTGAAGCCTGCCATCTGAGGAAAAAGAGAAGGGAGACGGCTACTGTGTCCCTTTAAAACCTAGAATGCAGATCCCCGGCAACTTTGTCAATCTCTTTAGAGGACGTTCCAGTGTTCAATGTACATGACTGATTAAACCTGAGTTCTGAAATAGAGACTCAGTCAACCTTTAAAAATGCATTTTCAGCTTTGAAACAATGAATTAAATTAGCGCTGTTATAATTGAAAACATCCTTCAAAGAGCTACTGAAAGTCAGCAGCATTAAATTGCACTGTACTTAGCCTTTATCCTATTAGATGTTTGTGACCATTACTATTTACATAATGCACCATTAATGGCTTCATTGCCGAGGCAATCAGGTCGTGCGGTAAGAATGCCCGTCTCTTAACGCATGGATTGTTATATTGTCGCAACCCTGGATAATCCTTGCGATCAAGGACACAAAGATCGCAAAATGCATAGAAGCATGACTTTTATCTTCAGAGTGCTGTATTAATGATAACTGTCTTCATTACTCTCTACTATATGTCGAGGTGAGGTGATGGACCCGACAGGTGAGGAAATAAGCATCTTAATGGGCTTTTTATCACCAGTGGAGGGCGCTGGCCTGCTCGCTTCCACTAAGTCAAGCCCAGACATCTGTAGTATAGCCCTGTTCAGCCCAGTCTACCGGTCGACAGGTGGATTTGTTTTCGTGTGTGACTGACAGATGAAAAAATAGGTGAAGACAGCCCACTGAGGCTGAACCTATGAGGCAGAGAGAGAGCCAGACAAGTCCTAACTACTTTCAGCTCAGTGTATTCCATGGTGCACAGTAGTACACAGGCAGTATAAACTCACTGCGACTCACACAGGCTTTATGGTGAGGCTAATTCACAATGGCATGTGTATTATATTAGATCCCTATGGTAATCAAGGAAAAAATAAGGAACAACCAACCCCCACCCCCTCACCACCACCTCCACTACCACCACCACACCCCCCAATCCAACTTCAAAGTATCTTCTATTACATGGATATGAATCGTCACTGAAGTATCAATAGTTTGATTGTATCCATGGAATTAGATTATTGACTTTAAAAAATCCCACAAGGTGGTAGAGCTGTTTATCTTTGTAACCATTCCAGACAATGCAGGAGGCACAGTAGCAAATATCTTTCTTGCCTTTTTTGTAACCTAAAAAAAAAAAAAAGATGGGAGAAAGGGAAGACAGAGGGAGGAGGGAGGGTCTGTAGCGCTCACCACCAAAGTGATCATTCTGTTGTTTGGGAGAAATTACCCTCATCAGTCATACAGAGATGCACAGCTGCCTAAGGGGATCTGGTAATGTTACTGCATAATAAACTGTGTTTGTGTGTGCGCGCACATGTCCATGTTCAGTGAAAATGAGACGAGGCACGAAAGAAATGCAAGAGGGCATGGGGTAAAAGAAGTCTGATTTAACCACAGAGAGGTTAAAATTGATGATAAAAGCAGCTCTATAATCATCCCTCCTTACTACACGTTGTTGGCATATCATTTATTGCTTCTCAGTTTAGCTATAGGAACCCATTTTATGGTGGGAATGTGATAGATTAAGCAACTCAGCTTCTGAGTAAAAAGGTAGGGTTCTGAGTAGTGTCTTCAGACACATATTAAAAACATTTTCGTCTCCATCGAAGAAAAAAAACCCCTCTTCTCTGGATGCCTAAATAAAACCATCAGAGCTTTGCAAAAGTGTTGTGTATTGACCTTTTTGAGCAGAGCATTTTTCCTTTAAGTGGCTTCATTTAATGATGGGTAGAGGCGATGTTCATGCTTGGTCACTCACTCCTTCACACCTCCTCCACAGAGCTGGCCTCTGCCCCTGTAGCTCTCCAAGCACTTACTCCTCACTTTATGTGACCTTGGCTGGCATCTGTGACAGTCCAGGAATTCTCCCCTGCACTCTATCCTCCCTGTCTTCGTTTGAACAACCACCCTCAGCTTTTTCTCCTGACCAACAGAATTTAAGTAAAGATAAACAAAGACTGTGACAAATGGTAGTGATTCTCCCACTTTCTATGTACTTCAGGTGTCGAAGTCGGTTGCTGTTACAAATTGTAGGGCTGTCTCTTTGTTGTTTGTTACAGCACTGCAGAGTCTAGTTGTAGAGAAGCTTGTTGTGCTGTTGTCAGGGCTGCACATAAGCGCAGTGTCTCGCTGTGACAGCCGGTCGCTCACTTTACGTTAACCGCAAGTGTTTTCACGGTCATCAACCAATGGTGGCCTGGAGGCTGTCATTTCACTCTGTGTGGAGCTCGCCCGCGGCTTGGTTCTGCCCCACAAACTCACAGCCAGCCCTGGTGGGGGGACAGAGCAACACACACTCATGCATATGTACACACTTAAAGACAGACACACACCCACTGGATAGACACACACACACGCACACACATACACACACACAAAAACTATATGCTCAGCATAAGGCAGGCTGCTGGAGCAATTACAGAAACATGGCAGAACACGATGAAGCAGGCCCCACTATCAGAAGGGAAATAGAGTGAGTAGAGGAAAAATGATGATGCCATTAATAATAGGGAGGCACAGAGGCTCACAGGGAGGTGGGGGTGGATGACCCCGTCTGTGATTTCCCTATGACAGCACTTTGAGATGCAAATGGTTGTGTTTGTATTAGATTTTGGATGTTTAAATGGGAATGTTTTTGTGTCAAAGAAAAAAAAAGAAGAGAAAAAAGTAAACTGGGATACTAAATGATGTTTGAAGTGATATTTTCCTTTCACTCATGCATCCAATATTTTTGTAAATGACAGATCACGCTTCCTTATTCTCTCTTTTTTCCTCTTTACACCTTGGTCTAAAGCTATTCATATGTACATTTCTTCTACTCCAGCCATCGCTTTCCCCTTGGTACTGCAATGCAGATGTGTCTCACACAGTGGCAGAAAACTTCCACTGAAGACAGTTATGAAAGAGGAACATGAGAGACTGGAGGGAAGACCATGAAAAAGATAGAAACAGCGGTGGAAGGAACAGAAGTTTACATATATATATACTTATTGTCAAGTTTAGAAGCAAAGCATTAAAATATGAACATTTTAATGGAACTGGGTGGAGCTGAACCCTATTGCTCTATGCTTTTAGGTGTACTGTTGTTAGGGAAAAAGCAGGCATGGCAACATTTGATTTATGAGGCCTGTCTACAAAAAAGGGGTGTCTTCAGCTTCATCAACTAAACAGCATTGCAAAGCTATCATGTCACCAAATAAATGCAATTTAGATGCTTTTGAAATACCACCATGATATAAACAGCTGCCTTTTCCCCCCAACATTTAATGGAACTGGGTGGAGCTGAACCCTATTGCTCTATGCTTTTAGGTGTACTGTTGCCCACAGTTTGATTAACAGCATTGTCTCCAATTTAAATTGGCAACAGCAGTTGAAAATAGCATTTGTGTTTGGTACTTCTGTTTTGTGTGGCCTCCGGGTAAAAATTAATGGATTTCATGGAAAAAAAAAGATCAATTACATCAAGAATTAATTGGCCATTTTGAAACAAATGCAAAACCCAAACAGATGCCTCAGAGGAAGTAGATTTTAATTTAGGATTCTTGTGCTGCTTACTGTATATATGTATACAAAACATTTGGAATGGGCGATGTATGAAGAATGGCACCTGAGTCGTCAACATCAGTACCAAAGATTGCTTGGGTTGATGATGTGTGGTGGTGTTTCTTTTTTGTCTAAAAATATGAACCGAAATGTTTCAACATGTGTACAAATTGTAATGTTTTCAGATTCATATAACCCCATATTAGTATCTATAGAATGTACAACAGTACAGCTGTAACTCAAGGTAAGTGAAAGATGCCTGTCCATGCTTGTATAACTCCTGTGCACGTATGTTAAAGTTTGTCTTTGAAAAGTAAAGTGAACATTTTCTAATCCTGATGGATTCAGTGAAAGAGCAGCCCAAAGGATTTAAGCCGACTGATGATAATTAATGGCCTGCTATAAGACCAAATGCTCCTTATCCATTAAAATCAAGACTCGCCAAATTTTATTTAATCAGTCGTATGTAGTATATTTATTGAAACTGCACTAGGATCTGTACATTTATTTATTTTATTAATTTACTTATTTTTATTATACAATTTTTTTGTGTATTTCATGTTTTTTTTAGTGGTTTAGTGTTGAGGATATATTAAAGTTGAAGAGGACAGGCGTGAGTTTTTGAAATTATAACGGCAGTAGAAAGTGTCTGTGGGTCTTGTAGTAGTAGTAGTTTTGAAAAGACCAAATTCCAGTGTTGGCTATCAAAAGCATCATATTTCAAACTGTTGTTGAAGGACACAATAGCTGCTGAGATTTAAATCTGCTGGCTAGTTTCATTTATTATCCATTTTGAATTTCTCTTAGTGTCTCTGGCTTCTTTTAGTTAAATACAACTTCAAAAAAAAGAAATTATAATTCTAACCAACACATAACAGCACAGTGGTCTGTACAACAGTGTCATTGACAATCAAATAACTGCAAAGTTCGGACATAACCTTGATTAAACAGTGTTACTGAATGGTATAAAAGATCTCCATGGGATGAATGTGTTGTGTTCAAAGGAGCTTGCAAAGAAAAGCGTCTGGACTTCTTTAAGTTGCTTGAAGACGTTTCACCTCTCATCCGAGAAGCTTCTTCAGTTCTAAGGTCAAATGG